CCTGATGATGGCTTTATGAGCCAAAACATGTAGCCAAGCAAATTTTAGCCTTGACCTTTATATTGTTGTGTTGTGATGGACTTTAATAAAGAAATTGTATATAATAACACACCAGGATGCACAAAATGAAAATTAAAAAAGTTGCCATTATAGCCTTTAAAGTGAAAAGGAGTCAATTATAATTATAATTATAATTGAATTAAAGTGAAAGTAAAATTAAAGTGAAAAGGAGTCAATTATAATTGACTCCTTTTCACTTTAAAGGCTATAATGGCAACTTTTTTAATTTTCATTTTGTGCATCCTGGTGTGTTATTATATACAATTTCTTTATTAAAGTCCATCACAACACAACAATATAAAGGTCAAGGCTAAAATTTGCTTGGCTACATGTTTTGGCTCATAAAGCCATCATCAGGCAAACACATAATTACCATATTCACACTATTGAACTACAATTGCGATGGTAAACCTGGATACTTGATAATACAAGGGTTGGATAAAAAGTAGTGGCAACACTGCTGTAACATGAAAGATGTGCATCAGGTGGCACTAGCGCCGTCTGTAGCTGATAGCAGAAGTTCAGTTGAAGTAGTGCAGTGAGTGGCATAATGCATATAAATAATCAGTGTATCTTGAATGAGAAATCAGAACTGGAAGTTTTGCACAGAAAACATATTGCCTCAGTAGTATTTATGTCGATGAACATGATCTCAAAAGGCTTGAATACATACATACTGTATGTTAGTCTATTTTGTATTTAAGGTCATATTCAAAGAAAATGATGTAGCAGTGTGTATTGAAATATTAAAGGCAATTATAATATAATTAGTGTACATAAGAAATGACCTTTGAGCAATGATTAGTGTAAAATATGCTCAACATTTATAATAACCTCTAACCCACCTCCTGGTACCATTAAGGTGGAACTTGTCCTTCATTGAAGGACAGCAAAAGCTCTCTCTGAGGGTGAATGTAGATCCATCCATTGCTGAGGTTAAGAATGTGCAGAGCTTTCACTCCGTGCTCTCTACATGTCTTTATGGTGTGTTGCTGAGTGACAATAAAAACTGAACCCCAGTTCAGAAGTCCTATGAAGAAACTGTCATAACCTATTCATATCTCTTTTTGTTAAGACAACCATTAAGAAAAGAAAGTATTGACTGATAGCATCTGCATAGTAAAACTACAAATGAGAAATGGGTCTTTCATGAGTCACATAAATGCCATATGAGTAGAACAGTTTATATGAAATGGTTGTGAGGCTGACCACTGCCTGATGATGGTTGCCAGGAAGTAAATGGGCATTGCAAGCGTTATATAGCAAGAGTCAATCTCGGGAAGCTACATGATGTAGAGGCCCAACAACGATATCATGTTAAAATCTCAACCGGGTCTATAGTTTTGGTAACCTTGGAAGTCCATATCAGTAGGTCCTGGGAAAGCACTGAAGAAGATATAAAAATTTAAACCAAGGGGAGTTGACCTAATTACAAGTTAAAACAGCATAAACCATGGTTTGATGAAGAATATTCAAAATAACACATCAATGAAAACAAGTGAAATTACAGTGGCTGCAGAATCTAAACCGCATGATTGGAGACAATCTGAACAATGTATAATATCAAGCTACTACAGTTGACATTTGAAAACAGAAAACAGAATTTTTTAAAGATAAAATTAGTGAGTACAATTATTTTGTTTCTGGACATTATCCATCGTCCTGTTTTTATTTAAAACACACAACATTTCAGAGACTGGATTCTGTCTGTCATCAGGTGGAACCTACTCAGTTGGGCCCAATGGATAGAGCTAGTCCCTATCTCTAGACAGCAGCACTGAGACAAGATAGGACATATAAACAAAGCACAACATCTGCCACAATCACATGGGATACTATACACACACTTCTTCCTTTGCTGGGCATCTCTAACCAGTTCAGTTTTCATCAGTGTCCCATGGAGTGTATGTTTAGTAAACTAGTAAACTAAATATTCACTCCATGAGATACTGAGAACCAGACTTCAGAAGCATGCATTAAGGACTATAAATATAACCTGATCCAAGACCTGCTTGAAAAATCAAAATTAGCCCAACATGCATATAAAGAAGGCCATAAAATACTTTGGAAGAAAGCAGAGGTCTAATTTCACTTGTTTTCACTGATCTGTTATTTTGAATATTCATCAAACGATGGTTTATGCTACTTTAACTTGTAATTACCTAGGCTCTCCTTGATTTTGACTTCCAAGGTTTCCAAAACTATTGGCCTGGTTGAGATTTTAACATGATATTGTTCTTTGGCTTCCAAAGATTGAATCTTGCTGTAGAACACTTGCAATGCTCATTTACTTACTGGCAACCATCATCAGGCACTGGTCAGCATCACAACCATTTCATCCAAATGACAGGAATATACCTGAATGCTGTCTTCTACCTACCAAGGTGTCATCAATCTGTGTGACCTGCAAACAAGAGAAGTCCAAGTGTGTTCATGAATGCTGCCATGTAGGAACGTTATATCCCTGATAATTAGCTTATCTGAAGGTAGTTGGTTGAGGGGCCATTCTACAAACCGGTAGGTCGCGGGTTCAAGTCCCGATGAGGATATTGGATTTTTTAATTGTCCTAATCCTACCAGCTGCACTAGGCCCTGGGGTTTACTCAGCCTCTATCAGAAATGAGTACCAGGAATTAATTAAATAATTTTCCTGGGGAGTAAAGCGCAGCTGGTGCGTAAGACTGATAACCTTACCGCCATCTTTGAGCTGACTGTCTAGATAGTGTGGGAGCCTCGACGTCTCACAACCTCATGGGTCTTCACGGCCTGTCACAGGGATAGCTTTACTTTTTTACTACCAGTACTAGGACCCCATTATCACTACTCATTTCATGTAAAGTCTCATTATCAACTGTGAGTGTGAAAATGTCTTCTTTCTCTGCTTTTGCTGTGGAATCTTGAAACATTTTGATATAGTACCTAGGATACTGGTCAAATAAATGATCTAGTACATTACAAATGGTTTCATTTGTATCACTTTTATCCTCAGTTGGGGCATGTACATTTGAGACAGTATCTATAAAAAGCCTGCCCCTGAGTGATGATCAGCATTCTCACTTCCATAGAAAAGTGTACAATACCTTTTTCCCCTTCTGACATCCGTTACTTCCACTAAAAGTAACATATACTTTATAGTTCTCTTTCTGCTGTATTCAATGAATTTGTCTTAAAGTGAATCCTCCATTCCTAAGCCAAAATCTCATGTACATTTTCCTATTATTTAGGCCATTCCAAAGAATCTGTTGAAGCCCCAGGTTCTGTGCAACATTCCAAACATGCTCATTTTCATGGTGAGAAGCTATTACACCCCAGCCCAAATCCCAAGCTGGAGGACCTTGTCAGGTGTCAGCAACTGCTCACTCAGTATAATTCAAGTTACTTTGAAATGTTGTCCCCCATCCTCAACCTGAAGATGCAACCTGCTATGGTGACTAGGGACCCACTTAACACTGCCACAAATTTAAAACTGTCCAATATGTTGCATCTTACCTGTGAAGTACACATCAGAATATAATATGTTTATTAAATAGTGAAACAGTGAACGTACAAACATGTTATTTTATTGTCCATGGTATCTATTCTATAGTATTTTGAAGTGAGGAAGATAATACTTCCTCATATGTCATATAAGACTGTCCACTCACAAAAAATTGAAATAAACAGAATCTGTGCCTACAAAACCCGAAAGTACACTAATTTGAATTGATGTATTGGAATTTCCTCTGTTCCATATATGTTTCTATTACCATGATGTGATATTCTGTAACTGTTTAGTGGGATTTGCTCTGTAGTAGATGTAATAGTTATACTGCCATCATTTGGACACCAGTCTTATTTATGAAAATAGGTGTGGTCCAAATTGAGGTAGTAATCTGACAATAAAGAGTGTAAACTGCGTTTTAAATCCTTTAGTCTTGTGGCAGAAAGACAGTTCTTTAATATGGGGGAGGGAACTTTATACACACACACTATGACAAACGACAAACAGATGGGGCGGGGAAGCAACTACTGTAAATTCTGGATATTCTTGATGGTAAATGAAAGCACACAACACACTTGTTAATAAATATCCATTTTCTTGACTTGTCAAAATCAAATAAAATCTAAGATTTATTGTGTTTTATATTTATGAAGAAACTACAGGAATTTCCAACTTTTATGAGAAAAATCTCTTTTTTTTTGTCTAGGTTTTCCAACATTCCAAATTATCCAACTTATTATTGCACTGTGAATATTTAACAGTTGCTAGAAGGTGAGCAAATAACACATTAAGTACAAAATATGTTTAAATTACATGGAGACCAATAAAATATAAAACCATATTTGTTTCAGTGAGTTTCATACTATGTACTTTGCATAAAGGACAGTTCTGCCTTTGCACTCAGACATATCTATACAACATAAAGTCAATTTTATCTTCCAGGCCACTTACACATTCAGTTTTCTGTCATGATTTATGTTTTCTAAAAATAAAAGTTGTTATATTTATATGTGATGGAAAATAAAACATTATGAAAGCTTCATGTATTTGTAGAATTTGATGAATATAATGCCATGTAGATGTTTCAGAGTAATATACCGCCCACATCTTCACTGGCAAAGAAACCAGTTTAGCCTACTCCTTGACCTTGATGATGGAGGCGATATCTCTGAAATGTCAGCTTTTACCTGACTGCATGGAGTTATGTTCCAGATGACAGAACTCTTGAGGTATCTGGTCCATCATTTAACTAATTTTGAAATTCTATGTTGTGCATGTCCCCATATGAAGCAAATCATTGGTTGCTAATAAATAAAGAAGTGGGTGCTGTATAACACCTCTTAGAAGAATTTGATGTTCTCAACAACAAAAGATGAATGGAAACATTTTGTAGGTTAATGTATTACTGCTTCAAACCAAGTGTGGTAACAGATAAAGCTGCTGAACAAACAAATTCACATTCACACATAATTATGCATTTTATTGTGCTTTGGGCACTTATTACACAGTCATATACTTACTCGTATGCAGCAGTAAAACCATTACACGGAGCAGGAAATCCAATTTTCTTCTTAATGAAATTATTTGCTTTCACCAGTATATGAGTCTCAAAGAAACTATGATGAGGTTTGTGTTGGTAAAGCTAATTCACTACATGACTCTAATATTTATCTGACAACAAATTCTGGATCCTTTATCACCACTTAATCACTTTCTGTGAAGTTTTTATAGTTCTTACCGTTTTTGCCTCCTAAACCACTGAGACCTATCCAATAATATGTCTATTTCACAGGTCTAGTTAAAGTTCCTTTGTTTCATCTGGCCACATTAGTAGACTGTTGCTCAGTAGATTCTTGACTATTACTACTGCTACTATTACTACTACTACTTTGTGATAAGAGTTCCTCTGTTTCGTCTCTGTTACCTCCTATTTCAAGGTTTATGGCGTCATTATTACTGGAATCTACCATGTTATCACTGCTGGAACCCTCCTTAGGAGTCTCCACCTCAACTTTGTAAAGAATGTCATGACAAAGGGGACAGCGGTCCTGCACATACAGCCACTTCCGGAGGCAAACACCATGGAAGAAGTGATTGCAGCGAGTGATCTTAGCATTTTTCATTTCCTGGTAGCAGATGGCACAGACATCATCGAGGCGATGGAGTTGTTCAGTGTTGGCTTCAGGGAGGGAATTAATCTTGTTGACTGCTGTACGGCGCTTCATAAACACACTCCATCCAGCCCGTGCCTCACACCAGATGTTGAAGTAAGCATGGATACACATCATGACTGCTCTTATTGCCCCTCCAGACTCAAAGATCAAGATCCACGCACCATTAAAAAAGAGAAAAATGCCGAAACAGAATTCTACAGTGTTACCAAATGCCCGTATGTAATATACGTAATCATCCAGCTTCTCCCAGAAGGAGCTCCGATAAGCATCCACCAGAAAGAGGGAGTAGATCATGAGAGACACCACGACCTTAACGATGACTTCAATGCTGAATGCAGACACAGCTAGGAGCCAGGTGCTGGTGGCATGTTGAGACCACAGGTAGGCCAGCAGTGATGCTGGGAACAGGATGAGGAAAGTACACACTGCCAAAGCACGGATGTGTCGATGCAAGGAAGGGTTGTGTGAGGCACTAAGAGACATAAGCAAGGGATTCACAATATTGTGCACAAAGTGAAGAAGGGCTGTGAACAGCAAACAGAAGTTGCGGCACAAGCGAATGAAACGTTTTTCTGGATCAAGTCCGGTAAGACCTGTCTGCAGAGCTAAGATGTAAAACAGGATGGCTGACACCGTTCCAATGCTTTTGTCATCATCATCCTCTGTAAGAAGGATCCACTGGAAAAAGCAGCCAACATAGTGACATACGTAAGACACAATGCTGGTCATTCCAAGAACAGCTGTTAAGGTCTCGCACCCACTCACCAACAGGCTCTTGGTCATATTAAACACAGTTGTGAAGAGCAGCAGGTTGTGACGGGCTTGCTCTCCCTCTGAAACACTCACGTAATTTGACAGCAATGATGCTGCGTGTTCTGCTACACGAAGAAGCCAGAATGTACGCAGCACTGTGGGCACATTAAGACGAAGCCATTCGGTTTCAAGTAATGCTGACAGGCCAAAGTTACTTATAAGATTGTGTGCATGTTGATAACCACCATATACAGTCTGAACAACAGCGAAGGCACTGTACCACAGAACGAACTTGACATGTGCTAATGGAAGCAATGCTGCAAACACAGGTGTATGGTGTAGGATGGAGACAGGCAACGGTAGGACGGCTAAGATGGACGGAGCCATGAAGCTGACAGGAAGCAATTTTTGGACAACAGGGTAACGGGGCCCTAGATGTACACAGGTGAAGATAAATGCTAGCATGCACTGTAATGCATAATTTTGAATCACAATAAAACTGTATCCATTTGGATCCAGAAGTCTTGCTATGTTTAACGAGAGAAGGTCTTCTAATATGCTGGTATAAACTTGGGTTCCAGTACCACTTGCAGTTTCATTGGCTGTCATGGCTACAATCACAGTCTTCATCGTGCTTACGTTTGCCCAGTATGATACAAAGACGATCCCAACAGATGTCAGATACATATACAGAATGACTAGGTGTTTGGTCCATAGCATAAACACACACATGGCTGTGAAAATTCCTATGGGAAAGGAAATATGAGTTACTATACAGTTCAGTATAAATCTAGTAATAATAGTTAATAGTTTTATAACAGCCTTATTTGATTATATAAAGGTGTAGATTACTAGGAAGGTGCCAAAGAACAATGATCTGAAAAAAAATGCAATGCAGCCACATTTCTTGTTAAATGTTGACACATATGCTTATCCATAATTAACAGAACCGGAGTTAAACGGAACAGCTAAACTCAATTATTCTATGTGCAGGTAGATGATTACTGCATATTTTAACATGCTCAATCAATATATAATCAAGACTGTAAAACAGAATGTTTGTGAAAACAGTCTAACATATACTGCATTTTATCATTAAAAAACAAATAATTTGAATATACTTGTAATTAACATGGTAAATTTATACATTAAAGTACATTCACCAATAACAACTGTTGAAATTGTAGTTTCTGGGGGTACATGGGAACAAGTTCAGTACTTCTCCTTGTCAACATCAATTGCTGACTTTTAAAAAACCTAACCTTAGGTTTGCATTATTTAAGAAAACAAGAAAAGTCTAACATTACAACGGCCAGTGTCTCCATATACTAGAATTTAAATTTTCTTCACTATAGGGCAATAGACACATAAATATATGATTCATACATGACAATCACAAGTAGATACATCTAAGTTGTGTCCTAATATCGTCCAATTAAATTAGTTGCTACAAATTGTTCAAAAGCTGTGATTACACATTACTAAAGTCAGCACATGTGGATACATTCTGTATTACATTAGGGCCATTACAACTTACCCAAACATGAGAGGATGAATTTGAAAACTGTAGCTACAAGCACCTTATATTGGACACCTGTGTTTGTATAATCAGGAATAGTAGGTGGCAGACCTCCTTCTATTATGCTGGCATCTGCATCACCTACTTCAAATGTTGAGTTATAATAGTTACTGTCACCTTGAGGAAGACCAAGTCCAATTCTTAACAACTCATCCATGATAAAAAGCGGAGGTACGCGTAAAATGACATCTACAAGAGCCAAAAGTTTCGTTCGGAACGCCATTGAAGAATAAAATAAGACTGACTGTAATTTTCAGAAACACTATAGCTGTCGAAAAACAGTGGTATAGTTACGTTATTTCTGGCCGGAACATCAACTTCTCAGAGCAATGATCTTGTAAATAGAAAACGAACAGTAAATCAAATTACCAAACAGATGGCGCTGCCTATGAAACCCACAAAAAGTTGACGTACGAAATTCACAACTACATGACGTAGTTCTCATATCGACATTTTAGAGCGCTGAGTCTCTTACTTAGGGTTTTCAGTAACAGATGGCGGAAGCGTATTGTTATGAGCCTTTACAATATTTTTTTATACAATTAAATATTTCCCAATTGAGCCAGCTTAGAGAGACAAACTGATTTAAGGAATTATTCTTTGTGCATTAATGACATGCAGAATCTCTCTCTCGCTCACTTACTCACTCACTTCACTCACTTATGTAGCTGAATCCTTCTTGAGAAACCGCCAATTATGCAGATACTCAAAAACTTCCCAGCATTTATGGAACCCGAAGTTTCATTTCCATGTTTACAAGACCCATCCACTAGCCCCTATTCTGAGCCAGATCAATCCATACCATATCATCCCATCCTCTCTCTCTAAGATTCATTCTAATATTGCCCACCCACATACGTCTTGGTCTTCCTAATGGTCTCTTCTCGCTTTCCCACCAATATTCTACATGCATTCCTCTTCTCCCCCATTCGTGCTACATGTCCTGGCCAGCTCATCCTCCTTTACTTGATCATTCTAATTATACTTGGAGAAGAGTACAACTTATGAAGCTCTTCATTATGTATGCAGTTTTCTTCAACCTCCCTTTACCTCATCTCTCTTCGAACCCTCAGCCTATGTTCCTCCCTTAATGTTAGAGACCAAGTTTCACACCCCTACAGAACCATATAGAATCTATAGAAAACATATTTTCAGAATGTGGAATAAACTATTTCTTAACGCAAGGTATTGAAATAGTAAGTTAAAACTTTAATGTAAGATTTGAGGTTTTCACGGTGGTGACTATGAAGAAGCAGTCTTCTGGGATGTGGCACCGTGTAGATGTGGTGTTAACCGACGTTTCGGAGGAACGTATCGCCTCCATCTTCAGGGTAGAAGGCCGCAGTACAAGGGACTTAGTCCCACCCCACTAGCAATACCATGGAGCTGAGTTCTTCTTGAGAAACCGCCAATTTCTCAGTTATTCAAGAATTCTCCAACATTTTATGGAACTCGAAATTCATTGCTGTGTTCACAAGGGTCCACCAGTGGCCCCTATCCTGAGCCAGATGAACCCAGTCCACATCATTCCACCCTATTTCTCTAAGATCCGTTTTAATATTATCTGACCACCTATTTCCAAGTTTTGCTGTTTGTATCTCCTTCTGGCTTTCCCACCAAAACCCTATATGCTATATGGATTCCTCTTCTCCCCATTCACGCTACATGCCACTCCAATTTCATCATGCTTACTTGGTCATTCTAAATACATCTGGTGAATAGTACACTTTATGGAGCTGTATGTTCACATAGCGGTGAATATAATGATTACATATACGTAGTATATGCCGCCGTATAGTTTAGAAGGTTGGTTGGTTGGTTTCCAATGGCTACATTTGGGATCATTTGGCCCATTTTGCTTCTTGCTTCCCAACATTTCGAAGTAATCTGACGTCACTGTCTTCAGGGTAGATGACAGAGACGAAAGGTTCTTCCGAAATATTGGTATCTCACTACTAGAGCGTATGACATCACAGCCCACAAGACCACACTCATTTTATGTTTTAATTTTATATTCATCCAACGTATCAATAGTGTTGCTGCGCTTCGTGAGGTTCCCGCTTAAATTCCCCGTCCCGAGGCTAAATATTTTGACTGTAGGTTTTCATAATTTTCCTTGGTGCCTCGAGAGAAACACCGGTATGATTATCTAAAATTAGGCCACAGTCGTTTCCTTCTAGCTCCTTTCCAATTCATTAATCAGTAATCCCATTTTTCGACGCTCTATAGTAAAAGCTGTTCCTGTGCTTAACTAACTAAGCACCATGCCATGAAGTCGTATGAGGAAGTGGATGTATAGATCCACATTTTCTTGATCTCGGCACTGGAAATGGGCGGTCAGCTTCACGCCCCAGCCGCTTAATCGGTGAAAGAGCCTCCGGTACTAATTGAATAAGAGGTTGGGTGGACCCCAGAGCCGGTCTGGTCAACGTGGAGAAAAGAAAATGCTTGACTGTACCGGGACTCGAACTCCGACCCTTCGTTCTTCCAGCCCGTAGCCAGTCACTATAGCGACAACGCTCTTACCTAGAATGTTGCATATTTCAATATGTGAATTGCATATTCTGCATAATTTTCTTCATGCGTGATTAATAACATGTAATTTTGAATGTTATTAAACGTCAAATGATGGAAGCAAATTACCCGGAAACGGAAGACACTCAAGAAACGGAGATAGATGGGGGCTAGGCTGAAGCCAGAAATTGGAACCGTGTGGGCGAAGCGTAATTCAGATGATTTCTTTTAGCTCTGTGTAACGGGTCGCCATTTTGGGTTTATTGCAGTATGAATGAAGACTGTGCCATTAAAACGCGACACAACTCCTTTTAATGATTGCATAAATTCAGCTCCCTACGCGGGTCGCAGTAATTCATACATCTCATCCAACTTCCATTACTTCCTCATTGGAATTTAATTAACTTTAAGGTTACGCGGAACTTTATAGGTACTCTGAACAGGATATTAAAAAGATGTGCTCCCTGCTTGTTTTGCATAGAGCGGCGTGTGATATCAAGGGAAAATGCGGATTGGGGGTAGAATGCTCGGTTAAAACGAGAATGTAAACAATGTTTTGCTTGGGGGTGAGCTTAATAGGACCTGTACGTTCTTTCCGTCAACTTAAAGTGAACGCTTAATGGGAATATAATGTCCGTCCATCTCTTGTAGCCCATCATCTTTGAAACTGGTTAACGTATTTAGACGAAATTTGATATAAGAATCTAAGATGATAAAATGAGATAAAATTTGTCCGAGCTTCAGTTTCGCTCCGAAACAAACAAAACTGAAATTTATCAGAAAAGTCTTATAATCTCGTTAAGGAGGGCACGCGGTAGGATAGTTGGTTGAGGCACTACGTTAAAAGAAGAAAGGTCGCGGGTTCGATTCCCGATGAGGTTATTTTATTTTTTAGTTGACCTAAACCTTCCGGCCGAACTATGGCCCTGTGGTTTACTCAGACCCTAATAGGAATGAGTACCAGGAATCTTCGTGGGGGTAAAAGGCGGCCGGGGCGTAAGGCTGACAACCTCGCCGCGATCTGTGAGCCGATAGTCTAGAAAAGTGTGGGAGCCTCGACGGCTCACAAACCTATGGACCTCCACGTCCTGTTACAAGGATAGTTTTTTAATGATCTCGTTACTAGTTAAAGACCTAATTTTGTTATCGCCGACTTAAAGAAGTAGACCCAGTGGTCTGAAGATTCCGTGTCCATATAAACCTCCCGTCTAAAATGGATCTCTTCATTAGTCTTGAGACATTTCATTCTCTTCGTAGGCCATAATTTGAAGCTTCTTGCAATGAGATTTCCTTAATACTTGCATCACATTCACACCAATATTTCACGCCGCTCAAAATTCTGTTCGTACTGTATTTTTAGCTTGTAATTTTTTTTATGATAACAGAATATTAAAGCTGATAATGGTCTTAGAGCCAGCCTCCTATCCAATTGGTATCGGGGGCGATTTACTCGGGACTAAAGCGATCAGGGCATGAAGCTGACCACTCACCTCCAACTAGTGCCGAGGTCAAGAAAGGTGGGGCTATACCTCCACTCCCCAATATGCCTTCATGGCATAATGCTTACTTATTTAAGCACAGGGACAACTTCACCTTTACTGATCTCAGAAAACGCATGTAAGCAATTTATTTTCAACTCTTCTTTCGCATGTACATTAAGCTGTATTCAGTTTTCTTTTAATTCGTTCCGTTAAGTGCCTCTTCGCACAGGATGGATATGTCGTTGCTGCTTACACTACATTCCTTGCTTGCAGCATGCGCTTTCACAAAGATGAAATAATTTGCACGCGACTGCGATGCCGTCGCTGAGTGCACTGTGACATCTCTTCAGAAAATTACGTCGACAGGTAAATCTGCAAATTTGAGGCTATCGGGAGAAAACAAGAATAGTCTGGAGACAGCTACACAATCAGGATCATCGTCGCTTGTGTTCTCCGTCGATTAATATTTGGGTAATCAAATTAAGGAGGATGAAGCTGGCACAACATGTAGCACACGTGACTAGATAAGTAAGGTAAAGCTGTCCTTGTGCTTAACTAATCAAGCACTATGTCATGAAGGCGTATGGAGGAGATGGAGGAGTGGATATATAGTTCCACATTTTGTTGAACTCGGTACTAGCTGGACGTGAATGGTCAGCTTCTTGCTCCGGTACTCATTGGATAGGATGTCAGGTGGACCCCTGAACCGGTCTGAAAAACGTGGAGAAGAAAAAATTTTTGACCCTACAGGGACTCGAACTCCGACTCCTCTGTCGTCCAGCCTGTAGTCAGTCGTTATACCGACTCCTGGGTAGATAATTAATGCGTGAAGAACTTAAGTTAGAAAACCTAACGTGAGGTAGAAAATTGAAAAGCCTAAACATAGATGCAGAATAGTATTAAAATGTCCCACAAATAATTAGGGTGATAGAGTTTAAATTAACTCAACTAATTGAAGACATAGTCCTGTAAGCAAGCTAACAATCTTTCGGGCTTGCCCAGGTCAACGACTATCAGCTTCTAAATTATAACTCTGCTGCATGAATTACTTAAGCTCTCTTAGTGTTCAATTTACATGATAAATTGTTACATAGCGACTGGAAGTTTACGTTAGATGCAGACACTTGGTGTCACTACATAGTACTTGAAAGTAACGCAAAGAATTTAAGATATTTCGCTAAATTAAGTAAATAAATGTGTCTAGGAACAAATTCAACTCTTCCTTTCGTTACACTGATTCTATAATTAGTACACAAGAGCCACTAATAAGGGCGATAAAAGCAAGGAGATGTTCACAGTTAACTGCTAAATTGTTTGATAAGCAAGTGCGCAAGAGCTTATCTATGAATGGCACGAGGAGTGGAGTGCAAGCCACATGCTGT